TGGCAAAGGCAGCAGGAGTGGACGGGAATGGCTGATGAGGACATTCTTTCAGTTGTTGCTGCTCAAAATCTCTCATCTGCCATGTTCTGCTCCCTGTGCGAGCAATGCGTAATGCTAAGTGAGCAGTGCTGCACAGGACAATAAACTATGCCAGGGGAGAAACTGAGCTGTTAATCTCAGCCTGCTTTAAAAACCTATTAGGGACTGACTGGCTCAGCATCCCCACAAAGGCTGCGGTGCACCAGAGTGAAGTCATGAGCTGACAAGTGGGTGAGCTCACCTGGCAGGAGCCCAGGGAGGGCAGAGACACAGTGCAGCTGATGCTGCCTCAACTCTCTCATTACCTTCCTCAAACGTTCGTGCTGTGTACACAGCCTGTACAGAAGAAACTTCTGTCCAAGGACATTAGGTGCCTCCAGGGTGAAGTAGGGCTCTCATGAATACTTCTTGTGCACTCCCTTTCATTTTGAAAGTGCCTACACACTTTGATATCCTAATCAGACGCCTCCTTGCATGCCCAGGTTACCTTCAGGAATCAGGCCTTTAGGCCCTGTTTGTTGGCTGAGTATTGAAAGCGATGAAAGGGAAACCAAAAAGAGCACATCAGCAATGGTGGGACAGAGCACGGATAGTGTTGACTCACCGTTACCATTACATATGTATAATGTATATAACATACAGAAAATGCTTTAAGATAAGACTTATCACCTCAACAAGACAGCTAACTGAAAGTAAAATACTGGCCTCAGCTGTTAGCTTAAACTGCTTGCATCTGAAAAATGAATGGTAATTACTTTGCTGTAAATGTAATCCAGAAAGTTCTCTGGTTTTTCATCTGATCGAGACTACAAATGGAAGAAGACAAGGAATGAATTTTACCCTTACACAGGAGCTGGTCAGTAGTGTTAACTATGGATTTTCCATCCATATTTCTGCTTTCTCAATGTCCTAAATTTTGGCCAAAAAAAAAATTGAATTGAACAAAGCAAGAAAATTCCTGGAAAATGATATAATAATAAGTAACTCTGATTGTTTTGGAAACAGGAGCACCAAAACTGCCTGTTGGCACTTACTGACCAAGTGGAACTTTCTTGTTGCTATGATTTCTTTATAACTCATAAATGGTTACTAGAGTTAAGGGCATTAATACCAGCATACAAAATTTGCTCATAAATATAATTTCAATAAGAATTTCTAAGTGTATGGACTTTCTCTGGAGTCTGAGAACAGGCACGTAAAAACAGAGATGCACAGAAACATCATCTCTCAAATTCTTGACTGTACAACTGTCATCCCAGACACAACCTATTGCACATCAAAACTCACGCAAAAATATCTTAATTTGCCACTTTAGTGGCAACTTTATAAGGCTCTTAAACAGGATGAGGTGAATGAGCCAACAACGGTGCACGCTGACACAAAAAGAACAAGTGGTAAATGCTACAGGAAAGCAGTGGGCTCCAGTCCCAGACATCAGGCAGCTCTCTCACACGGACTTAGTCTACAGCTGGTGGATTGGTTTATTGTTACCAGCAGTAGCTGCCATATGTTGGGGAAGGGAAAAGACTCTGTCACACAGAAGTCTTTGGAGATGTTGTGACAAGGATCTTCCCACGGCAGAACTGCTTTTTCCCTTCTTGAGGAAGTTTGATTTTCAACATTGTTGTTATGGTTGCAGAGGGGAGTATGGAAATATCTGTATAATGCTGTTCTCTGTGGCTAGGATTTGAGATCTTCCTGGGCAGGTTTTCCATATAAAGCAAGTCTTGACTCACATACAGACAGCACTGCTAAAATCATGGAGAAAATGAAGTTGAATTATGCAGTAAGGAGGCCCTGACTCAGCACTGGACAGGAAGGGTGACCTGTGTGAAAGCTGACCGTGACAGAAGGAGTCCTGCTGGTGAATCAGCATTACTGTGATAAAAACAGGTGACTGTTATATATATATACACATATATATATATATATAAAGCAGAAGCTGGTCTCACATGCATCTTTACCAGTAATATGTTATTTTTGAGACAGCACAGTGTTTGCAGCAGAGCTAGGCAGGAGGTAAGCACTGCTCAACATCATCAGGGGCTGAGGCAGATTAGAACCATCCTAGGCAGAAAACTGACTCTGAAAGAGGGGAAAAAAGGGCCAATCTTGAAAGATTGTCCTTTTTGAAGTGTTAAAAGGAAGAGAACATAACTTTCACACTCACTTCTTTAAGCCAGAATACATGATTTTCTTCATATGTTGTACTACTTCTGGATGAAGTCGCCTCAAAAGACACCTTCAAAGGAGATTGATGTGGATTTTTCTTCATAAGACCTATTCTAGATAATTAAAAAATGTTTGATTTGGTGATTGATCTTTTGTGGGAAATGGTGAAGAGTGAGAAAATGTTGTCAGAATAGCAACAGGATGTATTTGAGAAGGATGCCAAACAGAAGATTGCGTAAATTTCACCAATACCCCTCCAGATAATCTCAACCTCCTCTAGCAGCCCGCCCATTAGATAGCAAGAATAGTGAGGAATATTTGTCCAAGTTTTACAGGTCAGAAAGTTACTTCTGTGCGCTGGGGCCGTGGGACACCATACACACAGAGACACACTGAACACTTGGTGAGAAGTTGCATCTCATGTGGGAAGTGAAAAAAAGTTGCAAGGCTTCAGTGAGTTAGTTTGCAAGTACAAGAAGCTATTTCTACAAGTGATATTGTGGGCATGTAAGCTGCACGGGAGAACATCACACTCAATTTATAGACTCATCTCATCCACCCAGTGTGACACACCTAGCAGAATAAGAGCAGAATTATCAAAAGATGCCAAAAGATAAAAGATCTCTTGTGGTTTTCTGCCCAAATGCAGCACAGTTGTCCAAGTTCAGTGTCATTCCCCGACTAGGTCCATCTCCTCCCAGGACTGAGCAGGAGGTCTTTGACCCTGATGTGAACGTTCCAATTAGGTGTCTGCTGTCAGGGCAGGAATTCAGCCCTTGGTCACCAGTCTCCCTCCTGAGCCCCACAAGCTGCCGTCTTGCTTCCACACAGTCCAGGATCTGTCTGCATTCCATTTGCATTCTGTATTTCAGAAAGCTCTCCACAATGCCCTGCAGGAAGAGACAAGTTCAGTAAATGCTGGAAATACATAGGTTGCCATCATCTATGCTTTTATTTTCTTTCCGACGTATAAATAAAGGAAATTAATCCAATATTCATTGCTGTTGGAGTGAAGGGCTCAAAAGGATGGGAGGGGAGCACCGGACCTCTGTTTGCGTCTATTTACGAGTGTGGACATTGATAGGACAAGGGGAAATGGTTTCAAACTAAGACAGGAGAGGTTTAGGTTAGATAGTAGGAGGAAGTTTTTCACACAGAGCGTGCTGACACACTGGAACCGGTTGCCCAAGGAGGCTGTGGATGCCCCATGCCTGCAGGCATTCAAGGCCAGGCGGGATGTGGCTCTGGGCTGCCCGGTGGATTGACACTAGGGGATCACTGTGGGCCTTCTCAACCCAGGCCGCTCTATGATTCTGTGATTCTATGACCTGCATGGGTTCACCATGGCTTCACCAAGGGGAGGTCGTGCTCGACCAACCTGGTGGCCTTCTACAATGTAGTCACATGCTGGGTGGATGGGGGAAGAGCGGTAGATGTAGTGTACCTTGATTTCAGCAAGGCATTTGATACTGTCTCCCACGACATCCTTATAACAAAGCTGAGGAAGTGTGGGATAGACGAGTGGACAGTGAGGTGGGTTGAGAATTGGCTGACTGGCAGAGCGCAGAGGGTCGGTCGTCGTTGGCGGTGCAGAGTCTGGCTGGAGACCTGTAACCAGTGGTGTCCCCCAGGGGTCTGTGCTGGGTCTGGTCTTGTTCAACATCTTCATCAATGACTTTGATGAGGGGATAGTGGCCACCCTCAGCAAGTTTGCTGATGATACGAAGTTGGGAGGATTGGCTGACACGCCTGAAGGCTGTGCTGCCATTCAGCAAGACCTGGATAGGCTGGAGAGCTGGGCAGTAAGAAACCGGATGAGGTTCATCAAAAGCAAGTGTAGAGTCTTGCATCTGGGGAGGAATAATTGCATGCGCCACTACAGGCTGGGGGATGAGCTGCTGGAGAGGAGCTCTGCGGAGAGGGACCTGGGTGTCCAGGTGGACGACAGGTTGGCCACGAGCCAGCTGTGTGCCCTTGTGGCCAAGAGGGCCAATGGCATCCTGGGATGCATTAAAAAGAGCGTGGCCAGCAGGTCGAGGGAGGTGATCCTCCCCCTCTACTCTGCCCTGGGAAGGCCTCATCCGGAGTACTGCGTCCAGTTCTGGGCTCCCCAGTACAAAAAAGACAGGGATCTCTTGGAAAGAGTCCAGCGGAGGGTCACAAAGATGGTGAAGGGCCTGGAGCATCTCCCCTATGAAGAAAGGCTAAGTGAACTGGGTCTATTTAGCCTTGAGAAAAGACGGCTAAGAGGGGACCTGACCCAGGTTGATAAATATCTGAGGTGTGGCAGCCATAGTGGTGAGGCCAGTCTCTTTTCAGTGGTACGTGGAGACAGGACAAGGGGAAACAGACATTAGCAGCAGCACAGGAAGTTTCGAACGAATGTGCGCAAGAACTTCTTTACTGTGAGGGTGACGGAGCACTGGAACAGGCTGCCCAGGGGGGGTGTGGAGTCTCCTTCTCTGGAGATGTTCAAGTCTTCCCTGGATGCCTACCTGTGCAAACTGGTGCAGGGAACCTGCTTTGGGAGGGGGGTTGGTCTCAATGATCTCTAGAGATCCCTTCCAACCCCTACAAATCTGCGATTATGTGATTCTGTGGACTCGTGCGCTCATGAAAATTACGGAGTGCAGACGGATTGCAAAAAGGGGAGGTGGAACAGGGAGGTGGGATTTGGGTGTAGGGTCCCCAGCCCCGAGCTGGGTGTGGCCATGTCGCACCGGGGAAAGGCATTGTGACATCACAGGCGGGGCATGACATCAGTCTTCATCAAGTCACGCTAGGCCTCCCCTAGCTCAGACACTTGGAGCACTCGCTCCGTCCTGGTGGTCATTGCTGGAGCTCTGCTCTGGGTGACAGCCACTTGTGTGTTGAGAGCGGTCCTTGGGAGAGAGCAGGATGAAGCTCAGCCTGACTCTCTTCCTCATCTTACTTGCTTTCATGTCTCCAATTCCTGACACGTCCAGCTGCCTCAGCTGGGTCGGGAACTGGGACAAAAAGCTGCTCCATCCCGAGGAGCAGCATCCCTTAGAGACCGAGTGCCAGCCCTCCGGCTGGCTCTCCTGGCTTGGTCTAACCACCTGCCCCACCAAGATCGAGGATGGCAACAAAAGGAACGTCCTTCACCAGGAGCACAGACCTACTGACACCAAGAGCCAGCCCTCCAACTGGCTGTGCTGGTTTTGCCGAATCATCTGCTCCAACCAGATGGAGGACGGGAACAAAAGGCAGGTCCTTCACGAGAAGCAGAGCCCGGTTGAGATCAAGGCCCAGCCCTCCAGCTGGCTCTGCTGGTTCGGCCTACCCACCTGCCCCACAAAGATTGCGGACGGGAAGAAAGGCCAGGTCCTTCCTGAGGTGCAGCGGCCGATTGAGTCCAAGAGCCAGCCCTCCAACTGGCACTGCTGGTTCGGCCTACCCACCTGCCCCACAAAGATTGTGGACGGGAAGAAAGGCCGGGTCCTTCCCAAGGAGCAGAGCCTGTTTGAGTCCAAGAGCCAGCCCTCCAACTGGCTCTGCTGGTTTGGACTAACATCCTGCTCCACCCGCACAGAGGACAGGAAAACAGAACAGGTCCTTCGTGAGGAGCAACGTCTTGTTAAGTCCAAGAGCCAGCTCTCCAACTGGCTCTGCTGGTTTGGACTAACATCCTGCTCCACCAAGACCGAGGACAGCAAGAAAGACCGGGTCCTTCCCGAGGAGCAGAGCCTGTTTGAGTCCAAGAGCCAGCCCTCCAACTGGCTGTGCAGGCTTGGACTGACATCTTGCTCCACCAAGACCGAGGACGGGAAGAAGAACAAGGTCTTTCATGAGGAGCAGAGCCCCGTTGAGACCAAGGGCCAGCCCTCCAACTGGCTCTGCTGGATTGGACTAAACACCTGTCCTCAGAATGGAGAGAAAAAAGTTGTGCGTCCTGAGAAGAGCCTGCCCACTAATGCTGAGCGCCGTGCCTCCCACTGGCCCTTCTGGATTGGCCTTTCTCCACACCCCAGATGGGTCCCGAACAGGGCCAGCGAGTCTGTTGACCCAGAGGGCCCCGAGCAGCAGTCCCCGCACACCGAGCAAGACACCTTCAGCGTGCCTGACATCCTCAACAACTTCAAGGACTTAATAACGCCATTCCTGATAATCTGCGTCATGCTGGATTTGTGGGGAAACTGCTATCTGTTCCGGCTGCTGTGGGTTGCCTACCAGCTCTGGAGAGATATGTGAAGACATCAGGCACAGGTAAGCGCTCGGGATTCATACTGCACAGAAGGGACTGAGGGTGGGGAGCAGGGAACAGCAAAGGTCTGGTCTGGGAGGGCTTCCAAGCAAAGCAGACCTCCAGAGGTCCATCAGCTCTCCCCAGAGACTTGCCCGGCCCTAGGGCTGACAGCCAGCCGAGACTCCCATGCAAAACGGGGCCTGCCGGAGGTGCCGTGAGCCCCACGGGCTGCCCCGAGCTGTCCTGGGACGCTGGAAAAGCGGCGCAAGAATCAGAGCCCTGCAGGGCGATGCTCTGCAAAACGAGCCTGCATCCCTTTCTCTGCGCTCATGCCCTGTCATTTCCAGGGAACGGAACAAACGGCCTCAGCTTCAGAACGCGAACAGAGTGATTTCCACAAGGCGCTTCTCTCCATCTGGCAGCCTGTGGGTCAAATGGTGACCGAAGGTGGCGCTGAAGGCACCTGCGATGACAACAACATCTTCCACTGGGGGGACACCAACCTCCCCCAGATCATCACCTCCATTTTCCATCAGTCATGAAATAAATAACACCATCATTTCCACAGCCGGTGTCATTGTGGTGGCAGTGCGTCCGGGACAGTGGCGGCACTAAAGGCATTGGTGCAGGACAGCGCTGCTGTTCGGGGACTGGGGGCATGTTCCTAGGCAGGAGGAAGGGCGGTGGGCCAGGGATAAAAGAGGCATCGGTGGCTGTGAAGTGTCCAGAGACAGCCATGCCCCAGGGGAGAGAGCACATGTTGAGCGGGAACTTACGCCCCAGTGGGGTCATGCAGCGTCCCCCAGAGTGCACGGGGAGGGCCCGTGAGTCTCCAGCAGGCTAGGAAGCATCCAGAGCACACTGGGAATCCTCAGCTGGGCCAGTTCTGCCAGGATCCCGTGCGCATCACCTTCCCAGAGGAGGCTCGCAGCAAGGGAGCCTTCCCAGAAAGGGAAAACGGTGGCAAAGCACCACAGCACGATCTGCTGGGGAAGGGAGGGAGGCCCTGCGGCACGGCGGCTCAGACTCCCTGGTCCGTTTCGTCCCTCTGCTTATTACTGCTGACTGGTAGCTCAGGCCGGCAGCCGTGAAGTCGCTGAGAGAAGCCTGTGGGCTGTCAAACGGGACTTTGGGGCACTGGCGCGGTGTCACGGCTCCAGCCCTGTGCTGTGACTAATGGGGTGGAGGGACAAGCGAACCCACGAACCAGGAAAGGGGCAAGAGAGGTGGTGAAAACGTAGGGAGATGGGCCTAACAACAAAACAACGGGAACGAGCTAAGGGAGAAAACAATGATTTTCTGAGTGCACTAATTTTCTGAGTATGCCAGCGGGATGCAAGATTAAGAAAACAGATGAGGTTTGCCAAAAGCAAGCGCAGAGTCTTGCACCTTGGAAGGAACAGCCGCAAGTATCAGTACGGGCTGGGACCCGACCTGCTGGAGAGGAGCTCTGCGGTGAGGAACCTGGGGCTCCAGGTGGACAACAGGCTGGCCATGAGCCAGCAGGGTGCCCTGGTGGCCAAGAAGGCCAGTGGGATCCTACAGGGCATTAAAAGGAGCGTGGCCAGCAGGTCAAGGGAGGTGATCCTCTCCCTCCACTCTGCCCTGGTCAGGCCTCACCAGGACTATGGCGTCCGGTTCTGGGCTCCCCGGTACAAGAAAAGGCCGCGATCTCCTGGAAAGAGTCCAGCGGAGGGCCATGAAGATGATCAAGGGCCTGGAGCACCTCTCTTACGAGGAAAGGCTGAGCCACCTGGGTCTGTTCAGCCTTGAGAAAAGAAGACTCGGAGGGGACCTGATCAATGTCTGTACCTACGGGGTGACGGTGGCCAAAATACAAGGCCAAGCTCTTTGCAGCCGTGCGTGCTGATGGGACAATGGCCAAAGTAGGAAGTTCTGCACAAACGTGCAGAAGAACGTCTTCACGGCGAGGGTGAGAGGGCACTGGAACTCCTGCCAAGGGAGGCTGTGGAGTCTACTTGTCTGGAGATGTCCAAGACCTGCCTGGACGCCAACCTGTGCAACCTGGTCTACGGAGCCTGCTTTGGCAAAAAGGTTGGACTCGATCGTCTCGAGAGGTCCCTTCCAGCCCCTACAATTCTGTGATTCTGCATCAGGGAGAACACTGTGCTGCCAAGGAGGAGAAGGCTAATACGGACACTGCTACGGGAGGTGTCAAAGCAAACGTTCAAATCTCTCGGTCTGTACTACCATCTATTCTTTTATTTTCTTTCCGACGTATAAATAAAGGAAATTAATCCAATATTCATTGCTGTTGGAGTGAAGGGCTCAAAAGGATGGGAGGGGAGCACCGGACCTCTGTTTGCGTCTATTTACGAGTGTGGACATTGATAGGACAAGGGGAAATGGTTTCAAACTAAGACAGGAGAGGTTTAGGTTAGATAGTAGGAGGAAGTTTTTCACACAGAGCGTGCTGACACACTGGAACCGGTTGCCCAAGGAGGCTGTGGATGCCCCATGCCTGCAGGCATTCAAGGCCAGGCGGGATGTGGCTCTGGGCTGCCCGGTGGATTGACACTAGGGGATCACTGTGGGCCTTCTCAACCCAGGCCGCTCTATGATTCTGTGATTCTATGACCTGCATGGGTTCACCATGGCTTCACCAAGGGGAGGTCGTGCTCGACCAACCTGGTGGCCTTCTACAATGTAGTCACATGCTGGGTGGATGGGGGAAGAGCGGTAGATGTAGTGTACCTTGATTTCAGCAAGGCATTTGATACTGTCTCCCACGACATCCTTATAACAAAGCTGAGGAAGTGTGGGATAGACGAGTGGACAGTGAGGTGGGTTGAGAATTGGCTGACTGGCAGAGCGCAGAGGGTCGTCGTTGGCGGTGCAGAGTCTGGCTGGAGACCTGTAACCAGTGGTGTCCCCCAGGGGTCTGTGCTGGGTCTGGTCTTGTTCAACATCTTCATCAATGACTTTGATGAGGGGATAGTGGCCACCCTCAGCAAGTTTGCTGATGATACGAAGTTGGGAGGATTGGCTGACACGCCTGAAGGCTGTGCTGCCATTCAGCAAGACCTGGATAGGCTGGAGAGCTGGGCAGTAAGAAACCGGATGAGGTTCATCAAAAGCAAGTGTAGAGTCTTGCATCTGGGGAGGAATAATTGCATGCGCCACTACAGGCTGGGGGATGAGCTGCTGGAGAGGAGCTCTGCGGAGAGGGACCTGGGTGTCCAGGTGGACGACAGGTTGGCCACGAGCCAGCTGTGTGCCCTTGTGGCCAAGAGGGCCAATGGCATCCTGGGATGCATTAAAAAGAGCGTGGCCAGCAGGTCGAGGGAGGTGATCCTCCCCCTCTACTCTGCCCTGGGAAGGCCTCATCCGGAGTACTGCGTCCAGTTCTGGGCTCCCCAGTACAAAAAAGACAGGGATCTCTTGGAAAGAGTCCAGCGGAGGGTCACAAAGATGGTGAAGGGCCTGGAGCATCTCCCCTATGAAGAAAGGCTAAGTGAACTGGGTCTATTTAGCCTTGAGAAAAGACGGCTAAGAGGGGACCTGACCCAGGTTGATAAATATCTGAGGTGTGGCAGCCATAGTGGTGAGGCCAGTCTCTTTTCAGTGGTACGTGGAGACAGGACAAGGGGAAACAGACATTAGCAGCAGCACAGGAAGTTTCGAACGAATGTGCGCAAGAACTTCTTTACTGTGAGGGTGACGGAGCACTGGAACAGGCTGCCCAGGGGGGGTGTGGAGTCTCCTTCTCTGGAGATGTTCAAGTCTTCCCTGGATGCCTACCTGTGCAAACTGGTGCAGGGAACCTGCTTTGGGAGGGGGGTTGGTCTCAATGATCTCTAGAGATCCCTTCCAACCCCTACAAATCTGCGATTATGTGATTCTGTGGACTCGTGCGCTCATGAAAATTACGGAGTGCAGACGGATTGCAAAAAGGGGAGGTGGAACAGGGAGGTGGGATTTGGGTGTAGGGTCCCCAGCCCCGAGCTGGGTGTGGCCATGTCGCACCGGGGAAAGGCATTGTGACATCACAGGCGGGGCATGACATCAGTCTTCATCAAGTCACGCTAGGCCTCCCCTAGCTCAGACACTTGGAGCACTCGCTCCGTCCTGGTGGTCATTGCTGGAGCTCTGCTCTGGGTGACAGCCACTTGTGTGTTGAGAGCGGTCC